AATAAAAATCAGTGATTCAAAGCTAGGTTTTAATCGTGATCTAAATCGTGATCTTGAATCAGACCAGTTTTACTTTGATGACCTAAGCCAACCAGGCTTTCTCACAAAACTATTCCCGAAACAATATTTCTTTTTATTTAGAGTTTGTCTATTATTTGAGGCATTTGATGTGCATTTCTTTTCTATATAAATCAAAGAATTGTAAAACGAGGAAGCTTTATCTAAGACTGAACACAAGCAAAAGAAGTGCCCTTCTGGGAAAATCGGAGCGCTGAGTTTCATTTCTACCTTTTATTCTGTTTATTAGCTCCGTGACGTCATTGCAACAAAAGCAGAACGTAAGAGAAAGGAAAGAAGACGTGAAACGTAAGGCCCTATCGCAATAAAGTCAAAACTAGAAAAAAAAATTTTGTTTTCTTACTGAAAAAATTGCGGTAGCATAGCTCGGCTATGCCAGGATATACGTAGCGCGAGCTGATGCGCAGAAAATGAGAGGCGCTATCAAGCGGCTCCGGTGCAACGTCAGACTTGGCTACTGCGCAACGGAGGCTCACAGCTGGGCACGCGGCGGCGCCAGTGCGTCTGCCGCGGCTATGATGTCACTCCTCTGGAATGCGCAGACCGGCGAGGCGGGCGCGGCGGCGCCGCGCGCTCCGCGTAATGAAACGCTACAAAACTTTTTAACTGGTTGCTTTCGTTCTAGTATGTCGGGAATCGCAGCAATGAAAACGTGTTAATTAAAATGTATTTTACACTCACAGTAATTTCTTCCATACTGTTATCGGTGATCGGACAAATCGATTCAATCTACTATGTCCAATCTGCCATGTTCAAAAATACATCTACTTGTAAATAATGTGCATAAACACACAATCCCAGAATAGCGCGTGATTCTGTGTAGGTTCCTTATCAATAATATCTTTGAAATGGGATACGCCATAAGTCAGAAAACACATGCCCTCGCCGACATTTCTTGCCAAAGCGCAGTCGAATCGTATTTTGCCCTGACGCTCCTGAGAGTCCTTAATGGAACTTGCTACAATCACGCTTTCATTTGCTAACTCAAAAGAACGTTCCCTGCAGTCTTATCACCCAGCGGTTCCGGTAGAACTGGGGCACAAGCGTTTGACCGCGGTCTGCAGTGCACAGAACATTGGAGTCTGGAGGAGTTGTTGAAGCTAAAGCAAGTGTTCAGGCGCGCTCGTTTATAATACTGGCATGCAGTGGCGTAGGCAGAGGGGAGGGGGGGGGGGGGGGGGGGTTCGGGGGGTTGAGCAGCTTCCCCCCCCCCCCCCCCCCCCCCCCAAAAAAAAAAAAAAATGTCAAATGTCTTGCACGGAGCAAAGGAGAAGCGCAAACTATGTCCAACAGGAATGTTTGTGAGGTAGAAAATGATAGAATAAATGGTCAATATCACTTCATGTTTATTTGATGGGATGCGGAACTTGATCTCATATATAAAAAAAGACGAATATTTGGAAACATTTGGCGGACTATGCTCAGTGAAATACATGATTAAATCAAACTAAAATAAACATAGTAAAGCGCACACATTGTGATAATGTAAAACAATGTCAGTGATGTAAGGAATATTAAATAAATTGTAAACACAATGGCGCTGTAAGCAACGAGTGGGGCTGCGCTCACGCACACCTTGTGTACTGATCAGACGTCCTTTCGACTGGAAATTGCCGCGAATAAAAGAGTATCTGTGACTAGTTATGTCAGAAAGCAATTTACAGGCTCTCTTAATCGTTGTATTTATGCCAAGCGCCTACATTTTAAGATACAGCCGCCTGCGTTCACGGCAAAGAATATCCAGGATGTCCACCACTTGAACTTCAATGTCGCGGTGAACATTCAAACGCACTAGACCGAGCAGTCGCTCATTCGAAGTGGACGCTCTCAGCTCAGGTATGTTTTGGAACCGTCGTACTGAAAAGAACGAGCGCTCAGCTTCCGATGTTGTTACGCGCAGAGTCGCCTCCGTACAGAGGGCGACCGCCGGTAGCGCAGACGTGAGGGGCACGGGTCGGTGGCCGAGAGGGCTAGTAAGTGGAGTGATAGCTCGCGCTGCAGAACCCAGGGATCTTGGGCTCAATCCCACCCCTGCCCGTTTCGATCTAGATGAGCATCGTAGCGGCGTGCGGTCATGTATCACTGCATGGTGCACGTTAGCAGTTGTACTGCACCGGCTGAATTTCTCATCTACAGCTGGGAGGCAAGTCGCCCGTTGAGGCAGACCAAGTTCTAGGCTGTATAAACATACAATCCATTTTTTTAACTCATCTTAAGCTTCGTGAGGGAGAGATTGATTCAAAACGCTCGCTTTTGTCTTTGAAATTACACCGCAACAAAGGATTATCTTGGCCAGTGGCGTTGCGTGCGAGTGTCATGGAGTCCCACTAGTGCCAGTAAGCTCGTGTAGAGTATAAAAACATTCCAACTGAATATTGTTGCACTGCCCTTTTAATGGCGAGACCGTCAGAAATTGAACCATCCGCTCAAAACGTTTCCCGTCGCATTCCTGGTGCGCTTTTTTCCGCGGACGTCACAAAGAAACCGAAACTGTAGCCGTCATGCATATTGTACATACAACAAAAACAACGTTTTTTTTTGTGACACGAATGTAAACCATAAAGAATCCAATTTTTTACTGGAATTTTATATAAGTATTATAAAGCACTAAATATTAATTTGATAGCAGAAATTATCCCACCAGGGATACCAGTATAAGTGAAGTCATTATCATCCAATCCAATCCAGTGGAACTCTAGTGGCTTCGGTCGTGAGTATGGTAATGTCAGTAATGTCTGGCTTGGGTGTTTGTGTTTGTTTCCTCCTCTGGATAAGGTTTGATCGTCTCTGTATCATCTGGACATCGACTGGGTCAATCATCCAAACTGGTCTTAACTGCAACTTCGTGTCAACGTTGAATGATAGCGCGACTTCCTGAAATTTGATTGTGTCGCCTGATGTTCAGAAACTGCTGCGTGTGTGCTTTTCCCCCGACATGTTGGCCCGGGTGCTTTATCATTCAATTTGGCTGTTCTAAACGCTAGGCAGGTCCTTTCTGCTCGTGTGCACAAGACAGTTCGCACCGTGCGCCGGACTCTGCTTCATTCGGCTGCAGCAGTCGTATCGACCGTGGGTGAGTGAGGGAACCACAGGCCTCGTCTACGCATACTTATTGCCGACAAGGCGCCGTGAAAAAAAAAAAAAAAATCTCCAGGTGATCGAAATCAATCCTCAGTCCTTGGGTGGGGCAGGGTAAATGCCCTTCGTTTGCTTTGCGCTTAAATTATGAAAATTCTACTTTGTCTTCCCGACCTCTGTCGCTTTGGGCAGGTACTGACGTCGTTTACTTGAAGTCTTGCTCCAAAGCGACCCGTGGCCGCAAACGTCTGTATCGAAATTTTTTGGGCGGTTTGAATTCCTGGCACTTGCAGTGTTTTTGTTGGAAATCACGAGGTGATCAGTTCATGGTCTCTGGCGGCCTAAATGACTCGGTGTGCGTCCTCGGCAGATTTTGAGTTGGTGTGGTCAGGAAAGAAAGACTAAAAAATGAAGTTACAGACCCCTGTCTGCACCTCGGTTAGCGCTGCAGTCTTAAAGCCTCTCCCTCCCTCCCACATATTTCGGACTGTTAAAGAAACAGTCGGCATGTGCTTAGCACGAGGTCAGCGCTATGCTTGTTGCGCTCCGCTGCATGTGTGAACAGGCCTTTAGAAACTCGTCAGGAGGCACTACTCGTCACATGCTCGGTGGCTCGAAAGTTCAAAGCTATGTCTTTTCGACCTAAATAACTGTGTCATTGGTAAAAAATAATCAATAAATAAACATAACAATAAATGCAAAAATAAAAAGCCGGAGAGAAAAAAAAACTATTAAGAACCCGCCGGAAGTGTTGTATTCTTGCATATTCAGAGGCCCAGAACTATGAAACAAGTTTCTCCTACCAAAATGTCTACAGGCCAAAAGAAACACGTCCCAAAAGCGTAAAATGAGAAAAAAAAATATTTTTTTTTTATGACGCGCTGAACTTGAACAATTTTAGAAATCTTCCCCCATTAGTTAATTTATTCCTCAACGTGAAAAAAACAATAAATACATTATTTTGTATTCTGCAGATGGTAATGATATGTACTGTCTCTGGTGTTAATTTAAATGCGATACCCAAACAATGTAGGCGAAAAAAATTACCAAGTTTAGGGCATAATTGTCCGTAGTTACATGTTTGCATATTTATTCGAAACTAGTCTTGAACAACAATAATCATATCTTAAGACGACACTCACCTAGACTATATATAGATCATTCTTAAAAAGTTTAACATCTCTACCATAAATAGCTTCGGCTATAGCGCACTTCAAATATGGCTCAAACGACAATTGTCAAAAAACCGTCGTCCTTCCTCGCTCCTTCGGGAATCTATTTTTCTAAAACCAAGCATGCCAGATGATTGAAATAAACGGCATTGTCTTTCGCAAGGAAAGCGTCACCCCATGTAAAATTGCGAAAAAAATTGTGAATGTACCTTACCGCTTGAATCCAAATGAAACCGCCCGCCGGTCTTTCGAAGTTCGACAAGCTTCGAACTTTTACCCTAAAAGTTCGAAGTTCGTCAAACTTTTGACTTTTCAGGAATCGAGAGTTCGACAATTTTCGAATTCTTTAAATTAATAAGTTTGAAAGTTCTAAAATTATTGAATTTCTTTGCGTAGAAAGTTCGAAAGTTCGAAAAGCTTAGAACTTTTTAGTGCAAGAAGTTCGAAAGTTCGAAAATCATCGAAATTTTTAGTCTATCAAGTTCGAAAGTTCGACAAGCATCGAATTTTGCAGCGTAGTAAGTTTGAAAATTCGAAAAGCATCAAACTTCTTAGTTTAATAAGTTCGAAAATTCGACTTCCGTCAAATTTCTCGATATGGAAAGTTAGAAAATTTGAAATCTTTTGAACATTTCGAACCGCTTGATTCGATAATCGAAACTTCGATTCGAAAAAAGTTTGCGGCATCCCTAATGTCTTGGTTTAATTCAGCTCTTGTGTCGGAGAATTAGAAGTTGTGTTTCGGCATCTACGATGTAGGATCCAAAAGTTTTTTGACCGGGCCCGTAAGTCCAGATTGTCAGAGATACAAAACTGGAAAACATACACATTTAAAATAACCCCCCCCCCCCCCCCCCCATACAAGTATGAGGTCCCCCCCTGGACCTCATACAAGTGAGGCATAATTTTGGTATATTATGTTTTATTGCAAAACAAGCTTTTACCTAAAGATTCTTTAGTAGTTCTCAATCTGATCAGTGCACGGGAACATATTGTTCTGTGGCATTAGGAAGTTATCAATAGACCTTATACAAAATTGCTTGGTGGTCTGACAACACTGACAGCATCGCCATTTTACTGTTGGTGGAGGTGGAGACATTAGAAACAGCCCTATGGGCAGTGTGCAGCAGCGTGCACAGGCCTTCGAGAGTTTCGTCATACAGTTGCAGTAGGTTCTCTAAACTGTTCGTCCATATTCCCCGATCAGAAGGCAAAAAACCCATCTGCCGCGCCATCGCACACTGCCCGTACTGTTGCCTCTGATGCCTCCACCGTGCTTCGGTACTGATGATGCTTGCCAACATTAAAATGGCGACGCTTTCAGTGTTGTCAGACTACCAAGCAATTTCACGTAAGGCCTATTCTCAAAATATACATAATTCAAAGTTTATGCACAATCCTCCTCTACTTGGAGTTCAAGCATCACCGCCAAAAGCTTCATAAAATCTGGGAAGACTGTACATGGGGAGAAACATAATTTCACTGTGATAAAACCTAATATGTTCAATCTGTCTTGCTTAGGGCCATGACCATTCTTATTTTAATTAAAAATTACAAATTAAAGAGACACTGACACCCCCAAAAAAGTTTTTTTTTACATTTTTGCCAGGCGATTCATTATAGTGTCAGAAGACTTCCCAATCAATGTTATGCTGCAGTGCCACATATATTTCTAGTAAAGTCAAAAACCAACTGCTTGAAACCGAAACTGGAGTGGGAAGGTAGAAGAACTATAGAGGATGAGAGTGTGGCAAAGGTCATGTGGCTGTGCAAGTTTTTTTTTTTTTTTTTTTTTTTAATCAATATTTGCAGTTTTTAGAAACCACAAAAAATGAATATCAAGTTTTTTTTTTTTTTTTCCAATTTTAATATTGAAAGCGTGCCTTCGGTGACCCACAACTTTGATTATTTTTGGTGGTTGTGTCTAAACCAAAGAAAACTGCATGTGACCAAAAAGAAGGGATTGAGTGTGACTCAAACCGGCCAGTTTACGATCGGCGGTTTTAGGGTGGAAAGGAAACAAATTTTTAACCTCAAATTGTGTTCTGGGTAGTTGGGCTCTCATATGTCGTGTACAAATCACAACCTTGGCAAGCATAAACACCCTGTCAGTGTCCTTTTAAGGGGAGATGCCGGTCAGAAAACAGCATATTTATCAAAAAATGTGATCTTGTCTTTTATGGTGTTTTATTATATTTCAATCTTTATATTTGATGTATAAAAATAATTAGTGCCAGTTATGATTGCGAAATTAGTCAAATATGAATTCGAAGACCTCTAGGCAACCCGCAATGGCATGAATTTGAGCCATATTTTTCTGCATGGTTCTTCAAGTTGCGATGTCGCCTGCCATCACATTTACGTCGACAAGTAGGCCTAGCCCATTTCTCTAAATTGCAGTCTTCTGTAGCTTCGATTTCTCGCAGATATTTATGAACAAGATATTTTTTGCACAGCGAAAGAGTATAGCTCCATGGCAGGGGTGGCCAGAGTGACATGGCGTTTGAGCCGCAGACAAAACAAAAAAGTTCAAGAGAGCCACAGGAAGAAAAAAAAAGGGGGCGGGGGGGTTACAACAAGAAACGATAAGGAGGGAACAGTTCTTTCCAAAACGGACAGGTATAATGTTCGACCACAACAAATAACACCAAGCAGCAGAATGTTTCTTCAACCGCTAAACAAAAATTACTGTATGGTTCGCTAGCCAGCCACTGCCCCTGATCCCTGTCATGCGTATACGGTTTGAAATTCTTTCTAGAACAATAATGAAAACGGGGTCACTAGATGCGTCTACGTGTCAAAAAGAAGTCCAGCTGCATGTACTTAGTGTAATACAAAACTGCCAAGATATCCTTTTTTTTTTAAGTTTATAACTCTTGTTGTTGGGACATGGGAGGGGAAGGGGGGCATGGGTACCAGGGAGTCGCGAGCCACACTTGAACCCTCGAAGAGCCGCATGCAGGGGCGGACGCAAGTATTTCTTAAAGGGGGGGGGGGGGGGGGTCAGGTGTTGGCCAGTGTATTGTATGTTTAAAAAACCTGCCCCCCCCCCCCCCCCTTTCCCGATTCCACGCCCTAAATTTTTACACATGCAGAATTCAAGAGGGAAGTCAGGACATCCGGACCCCCTCCTGAATCCGCCCCTGGCCGCATGCGGGACGTGAGCTGCAATTTGGGCCACCCCTGCTCTGTGGTGACATTCAAACCCATTTTCTTTTTATGTTTTCATGTAATTTTGGGGCATCTTCATACTTTCTGCTCAAGAATTTCTGCTCTTAATATAGATGTATTTCGAAATAATGTATAGATTATGTGCGACCGCCATTAGTTGGTCATGCAATGTGAGCACGCATTGGACCCGAGCGCTTCATCAGCATTCGAAGTGTACTCGAATCGAAATGCATTCCGCACAAGTGCTGCGTCAATGTTCGGCGCAAGCTTGGAACCAATCGTGGGCTCCATGCCGGAAGCGATGTGACCAACTAATGCCGGCTGCGCATAATCTATGCATCATTTCACAATATGTTTTATATTTATGAAAACTTTGGGAAACATTTGTGAGCTCCTTGAAATGGCATTTCTGCAATTTTTAATAAGTTTTCAATTAAACAAGTGTTGCACACATTATTTTTGTTGCTCATTGCACTCAGTATTTTAAAAGGAGTGAATTAGTTTATTTTACTAGGCTTTTCTAAGTGTGTTGCCATGCTTCACATGTGCACAAGAACATGTTTTCTTTTTCTGCATGTACATTGCATCGAGAACCTAAAATAATGAGCTATATCAAATCTAACTCCAAATTTATAAAGAGAAGATTAAGCATCATAAACTGTAAAAATTTTATTTCAATATTGTAATAAAAGAAAGAAAAATTTCCCCTGGCGCACGTTTTCTTAACAACCTTTTGTAGCAATACGTTAGTGGTTGTGCACAGTAAGCCCCCAAAGAAGGCACTTGTAAAATATGTCTCTAACCGGGCAACTTGCATCCGCAAACAAACCATGAGTGACCTGGCATGCATTCCAGGTGATTTCATGGGGCACAAGTTTACATTGGTTTGGCTGATACGGGAAAATTTCTCGATTTGTACTTTTGCTTATAGAAGTACCATGTGGCAAGTTGCTTTCCTCTTTGCCGGTATTGTAGCCTGATTTCTTTCCCCCTGTTGTAGCTTGTAGACATCGTGAACATAGTGACATATTAATAAATTCCCAATTTTTATTTGCAGGTCAATCTTTCTTGCATTGTCCCAGACCAATTGCAGCGAATCCGCACATTGCTACTTCATAGAACGGACCGCCCACCAGTCAAGCCAACTTCCGGCAGCTTGATTTTTCACATAGATTGTTTATTCACATAGATACGACATACTTGGATTAGATTGGATGTTGCCGTGCTTTGGCCAGTTGTGTCCAGTTTATTGTCCGTTTTCCCCACCCCACCTGATCCAATCCACCAATGTCTCATCTCTGCAAACAAAACCACTGTTGTGCAGTAGCCCTCTAAAGGACTTCCCCTAAATAACTTCCCCTTAAGGACTTTTCCTAAAGGACTGCAGCTTTTTTCAGCAATCTCAGATAGTACCCTCCTAGTTGAACATTCCCATTATGTTCCAAGTGGAATTTTTCCATTGGTACCAATTGGGTTTTTGGACAACCAATTGGTCACTGCCAATTGGAACCAACGGACCACCATTTGTAGCCCATTTAGGTTTCAGCTATAGTCGGTGACAGGTCAAGAACGAAGTGGAAGCTCCTCCCACTTCTTTCTACTTTAGTAGAGCGAACCCTGAAGAGGAGGCGACCTCCTCTTTACCGTTTGCTCCGCTGAAGTGGAAAGGGGCGGGTAGAGCTTCCGCTTTGTTCTTGACCTGTCACTGACTATAGAGAAATAATTCCAGTTGGTGAGACCCCTTGGCCAGCGTGTTTCCAGTTGGAACCCACTAAAACCGATTGGTTCCAGTTAAAACCAGTTGGAATTCCAAATATGTTTAATTGGAATTTTCATCTGGGCTGTCATTTTTTTTATTATATTAAGGGGTACAGCCATACTACACCAGTCCCTCTAACAGAAAATATGCCAAGCTTTTTAACATTGCCTCCAATCATCTTTTTTTCCCTTCATTTTGTGTTGCTAGTGTACAAAATGGTTCTGTATATTCAGTGATGATGCTATTTGTTCTGTTCATGCTTTTCCGGCTTTACCACTTTTGGGTTTAAATGTTCTGTAATAGGTGGGACCTGACTATCACTGGAGAGCTTTTTTCTCTGTTACATATTTTTGGACATTGCCATTGTCTTAGTTTGCTGAAATCGGCCTTAAATGTGGACAGTGTTCTGTGTCGTTGTATTCAGATCTACCATGCTTGTCTATTGAGCGTCTTTTAAACCTTGTACTAAAATCTGTTGCCGCTGTCTTAAAGAAAATCTAGGGATTAGATCCCTAGGGAATCCATACATTAGGGAGGGCATCTCCACCAGCCAACTTTTGGCACGACTAGTTCTTTGCAACCATCCTTCTTGCCACCAATGTGACAGCATTAAGATTGCATGTGGCCAGGGCATGGAAAATTACACACAACTGTTCTCTCCCTGAAACCCAACTACTACACTAGATCCAGTCCACTAAAGCAGTGTTCGCGTGAATGAAGCCAGTTTGAAAGTGCTGTGTTAAAATCGTTGCATTTTCTTTTAGCCAAGAGGCCTGTCACTTTCAACACAGGATCCACCTATATGTTTTAGTTCTGTATAACATGTTTCAGTGAGGCTGCAAGCATTATTTCATTGCCAGCTTACTAGTTAGACGACGGGAGAGTGGTAATAGAAACTGCAGATTTTGAGTATTCATCAGGCACGAAATAGAAAAGTTAGCCTGAGTTTTATTTAGTTTTAGTGTGAAGGTGTTACACACCTAAAGCAATCTATGTATGGAATCTGCTGACCTTAAAGGGGCGCTGACAAAGGTTGAATTTGAATTTTGTTGTCAAAAACAATGCAGGTTGTAGTAAAACATGCAAAAAAATACCGGAATGCAAAAAAAACAAAGTTTAAACATGGGCGGGTGCCTTTTTATTTTTGGCACCCTTCTCTCTCGCTCATCACCTCTTCGCCTCTGTTTATTCGTGGCATAATCGATTATGAAATTTAGAATCTCTGTAAGCGACATTTCCACAATAATTATGAACGGCATTCGTAAAACATGTTTTTTATCGCAATTGTAAACGCGCTGTGGCCCATCTTTTTGAAATACCGATAATCAGAGTCTTGAGTGATGTCACCCCCTGTCTCTTTCTCCTCCGTCAGAAAACATGGCGGCGCTCCACCTATGTAGCACTCAGGGTGATCCGTGAGTTGGGGCATCGGACAAAGTTCTCTTTTTTAGGCGCCTGACGACCTCTCAGACTTCGAAAAGGAAATCGTCAGACGATCAAAACAACTGCATTTCGTGTCTGTGTACCCTAGCTTCGGTCGCGACTTCGCTGTGGCAGCCTTTTACGCAGCACCGGCGCAATGTGGCCCCTCATGTCGCTCACAAAAGTCGACTGTGCGTTCTCTTCGAGCTCATACGGTTTCAAAGAATTTGAGATCGCTGAAACTTCAAACTCAAAAGTGAAGCGTTGTCTGCCCACAGCAAGGGGCGGCACGCACAGAGCGGTTGATCTTGGGACGTGGACGAACATGACACTGGGGTGTGAGAGAAACTCGAGTTGCAGGGTGACATAATCTTTTGTTACTGCACTGGCGTGGATCGTGCGGGAACTTCAGATTCGGATTTTGGGAATTGTTTTTTTACTTCACAAATACTGAGTTCCCAAGTTTCGAATTTTGAGGGTCATGTCCAGGCATCGTTTTCTATCATTTTGGATAATAAAAAAACTATATGATTTTGACCTGTCAGTGCCCCTTTAAAGAGATGCTGAACTCGCACAAAACAATTCTTAAGTGCCCGGATTGGGTATGTACATCAGGAAATGTACTTTTCCTGAAAATATATAAATGCAGTATTGACGTTACAAGACACATTTGGAGTTCGGAGCAATTTTGTAACGTGATTTGCTTTCGAGGCGTTGACCCTGAAAGAAAAGCACCTAACTCAAAAATGAGTCTGGTAAAATAAATATTATCTAAATGTTTTTGTTTGTTCTTTCGAAGTCTATTTTGTGACAGATGTGTCCTATCCAGGCACTAAGAATAATGTTTTTTGGGGAGTGTGGCACCCATTAAGTGAAGAACCACCTCCCACTACACCTGTGTTGACACTCAGGTAGACTTTGGTCTTCAAGCTGCTACTCTTGGTAAAAGAAAAGCCTGTTGAAAACAATGTCTTGTTTCTCGCAGTGTCTGTCACGAAAGCCATTAAAGTCGAAGAAGAGGCTTCTGGCTGTGAAGACGTCGAGGGCAAACACTCTTCTGAGAATGATTCGTTCACCGTGGGGCAGCCAATGGCACACCCGCACCACAAGAAGTATCAGTGCCGGTTCTGCCCTTTCTCCAGCTGTCAAAGTAGGGGCATCAAGAGGCATGAAAGAACGCACACAGGCGAGAAGCCCTTCAGCTGCCGCATCTGCCACAGAGTGTTTGCACTGAAGAGTAACCTGCAGGTTCATGAGAGAATTCACACAGGTGAAAGGCCGTTCAGGTGCCAGACCTGCCAGAAGGCATTTTCACACAAAAGTAGCCTGCAGGCTCACGTGAGGCTTCATACGGGTGAAAGACCATACAGGTGCGGAACATGTGGGGCCGCGTTTATCCGGCAGCGCCAGTTGAGGTGTCACGAGGGACTTCACGGTGGAGACCCACCATTCCATTGCACACAGTGTGGTGAAAAATTTGTGCAGCAAGCTTATTTAAATGCTCATCGGAAGGAGCATCATCCGTGAGGAACATCCGTCATGTAGTAAAGGGCAGTGCAGCTTGGCTTATTTGTAGTGTCGTTTTACCCTGATTGCTTCATAAATCATCTATGACCTGCCAGTACCGGCTGCCTTTTAACACTATAAAAGTCAGAACTGCAAAGGGAACCATCACTAACAGAGAACCAATAAGTCACCATTGTAACGAGCATATACCGTATTTTCCCATATGTAAATCACATCTGTGCATTAGTCACGCTGAACTATAAGCGGCTGTTTACATTCAAACATTGGTATATAGGCCACACCTTTATACAAGTCGCACCTTATATTTGTATGACAATAATAATAATATGTTTATTCCCACGCTTAATGGTGGAGCAAAGGGTAAGAACCTCAGTGGAGGCTTGACTAGCCCTTAGCACCATACATTGGTAATTAGCAGCTAAAAAAAAGTATGGGTGGTTTCATTTGAAATCGAACACGCTTTTCGGGGTGGGTCTTTCAATCTCTTTTGAAAAAATATATGTAATTGCCCTATTTCTGGAAAGAACAAAACCGCTTTTCAAAATTTTTTAAAAAATATTTCGCTTCACAAAAACCTTTTGAGTGGAGCAGGGTGAAAATCTGTTTTTTACTCTGTGATTTTTCTACCCAGTTCTGTACGCTGGTATGAATACGGGAAGCATACAAAACTCACAGTAATTTTTTGTGCTCTTGTATGTTATTTGGGCTATTTTTTAGTTTAAAGGAAAATACTTTTGTAGTTTTGTTTATTGAGGTAAAAAATGCCAAACATCGTCTCTTTGACAATCCGGTGACATCTTCAGAGCCTTGTAACTCATGTGTTATTATATTTGTCACTTATTAAATACTATGTGGGTGTAGCCCTATACATGGGGTACCGACGGGCTCAAGTTTCGTTTATTTTATTTTCACTGAATTTTTTATATAAAATTTGAAATATCGTCGAAAATGAAATTAACCGATATTTTGAACTCACTTCATCAAAAAAGGCCATTTTTTATTTTGTTCAAATTTTTTTATTATTGCTACCGATCATAGGAACTTTCAATTGGTTTGATGCGATTTCCCCCTTTTTTTTTGTTGTATCTTCTCTAGAAGTGATCGAAATCGCTCCCACGTGACAATGTGGTGACAACATCAGAGCCTTGTAACTCATGAGTTATTATATTTTTCGCTCACCAAATACTATGTGGGTGTAGGTAGCCCTATACATGGAATATAGACGGGCATAAGTTTAGTTTATTTTATTTTCACTTAATTTTTTATATAAAATTTGAAATATCGTCGAAAATGAAATTAATTGATATTTTTAACCCACTTTCTCCAAAAAGGCCATTTATTATTTTGTTCAATTTTATTTTTATTATTGCTGCCGATCATATGAACTTTCAATTGGCTTGATGTGATTTCCCCCTTTTCTTGTTGTATCTTCTCAAGAAGTGATCGAAATCGCTCCCACGTTCTCTGAATGGCCGAACGCAGTTTCTGCAGGTCGGCTTCGCTGCATAGTATATACTGCTTATTTGTGTGTTCAAATGCAGCGGGTAAATTCATTTTGATTGAGAACACCCGTGCTTGGCTACATTGTATTTTATTAATTTTTAATGATGGCAACTGACATTTCTTAGTCTGATATTTAGCGGTGCAGCGGATGTTCCATTATCCAATGTTTAAAGCCAGGGCACAAAGGGCGGAGAAAACGGAACGAGCTCTTCATGTAGCCAGACCGGGGTTATATACCTGTACAATCTTTGCATTAAGCTCGGTGCGACAAAGTGGAGAAACTAAAAATCTACAGATACATTAAGTGACTGCTTTCGCTGCCTTCTGTGCATGTGGGAATCCTTGCTTCTTGGAATCAGAGATATCCGATCCAGTCTTGAACAAAACCCAACACTTTTTTTTAACTGCACACACTCGTTAAAAAGAGGGCCACCGTCTCAGGTTTTCGCTTTATTTTCTACCATTCCTGAATACTCGCTGAACAGATTTCGTGACACTGCACTCAAGCAGCTGGGCACATGCTGAAGCAAATGTAGAGCATGAGATGAAACCAGAAAATTTCCATAAAATATTTTAAAATCAGATATATATTTGTGCAGTAGGTGGTCTTCAACCAGTTCTCACAACAATTCCTTCATCATAATGTCATTAAAATAACAATACTATTTGATTATGTGAACCAAGCTCTGCCATCTAAAATTCATTCACCTATGTAAATGATTATCCTTGTAAGTATGCTTATTATGCACCTGTGTTGTATTTCTTTTTTTAGTTGTTTTTATCTTTCATTAGCTTTTTGTATCTTGATGTAACCTTTTGTGTTTGTTTTGCATGCTACACAGCAGATCAGCAGAGGTTTGTGTTCATGAAAAAAAAGAAAGTAATTATGGTCTTAGTATTCCTTGGTATCTTTCGCTTGTGGCATAAGCCTCCTTCCAACATAGGAATGTGCTAAGACGAGTTAAGAACTATGACAAGCAAACATTTATACTTGGGAATTGAAATTGTAAAATCTTATATGCGAAATCACACATCTTGTTTTATAGTTTCGAATTATTGTCACCTCTTTTTTTGTTCAAGTGTGGTTAAGGTAGGCTTATCATTACCCTTTTTTTCTTATCATTACCCTTTTTTCACATTGCAGAGCAACACTTTCTCTCTGTTTTGTGAGGTTACTACTAAATTCTGAAATGGCTTCTATCAGGACCGTTAATTTCAGTATGCATTGATTATTATCATACCATCACAAAGGTTGTTCAGTCCTGTCAAACAAAACATTTGTCATGCTCTTTTTATTCACAGCTCTTCTGTAACATGGAATCACCTGGCCGGAGCCAAATCTTTGTTAACTCGAGCTTTCGAGCTGCTGGGTCTGAGTTGTTTTTGGTAATGTGTTGTATAGTTGTTCCTTGTTTATTTTTGTTGATGTTGCCGTGATCTTTGTTTTCATTTTTATTCCTATTTGCCCCATCACAGTACTCTGTAATGCCTTTGTACCTGAAGGTAACTGAATAAATAAATACAAGGAGAGAGTGAAAGTGCCAGACAAATACAACCCTGCATTTCTTTAATTCTTTTACTTTGTCGCTGTTTTTTTTTTTGCTAACTGAATAAATGAACAAGCACAAGGAGAGAGTGGAAGTGCCAAACAGTTACAAACCTGCATTTGTCCAGTTTTACTCTGTCCTTGTGTTGTTTTTTTCATTGGAACATCATGCATCACTTTGTTCAATTCTATACACTGCTGCAACCTAATAATACGGCATCAATATCTCCTTTCTCTCTATGATAGCTTTCTTTCTAAAGGAGAACCACTGCCACAACCACGTTCTGCATAGGAGACAGCATACCAGCAGTTTCAATTGCACCACGGTGAATGGGGTATTGAACGGTCACGACTCCAGAAGATTGTCCTTCGGATTTGCGAAAGGTGAAGGGTGCATCACGGTTGGAGGGGCTTGCTTGCCGATTCCTACAGATTTCTGTTGTGACGGAAGGCGAGGTCCTCTGGAGGTCTACGGAGGTCCACCTTTGTCACGAGACTCGCCCCGCTATCGCGTCTCGATTCTGGAATTTGAACAAGGACCTAGGACGTTGCAGCATAAAGGCACCATTATGCCTTTATTCTGTCCTAATGTCGGTTCATCCTTACTAAGGACGGTTGTTAGTCAGGACCCGTCTCCAACTAACAACTCGTGTTTTAATACACACGAGGAAGAAAGAGGAGAAAGAAAAATGTAAGGGGGATATGAAAGGAAACAAGTGAAGAAGACAATTGTGTGCAATTTGCACACACTCAAGTCCTGAGGTGGTTCCATGACAAGAGCTCGAGAGAACTACTATATGAAACTCAAGTCATTCTCTCCAAAGAAGACGCATGTGTCAATGCCTCTTCCATTCGTGACAATTTCGGCAAAGGTATTGTTCTACTTGAACCTCTGCTCCTAAAGCTATATAGATATCAACCTTCTTTATTTTATTTGTAATTTTTTTCTTTCTGTACTACCTGTTTGCCAGCTCATATTTAAAGCTTTTCTTTGTTTTTCTTTTGTTTTCTTTTACAAAAAGTTTAGTAACATTTATTTTACCTTGTATATATATATATATATAGTAATCTCCCCCTTACCTTTTTCTTTCTCCTCTTATTCTTGTGTATTAAAACGTTGGTTGTTAGTCAGCACCCGTCCTGTCCACTTCTACTCTGCTATTCTGCAGAACACAGAGATCCTGAGTTCATCCTCACCGCTGCCCGTTTCGATCTAGATGAGCATTGTATTGGAGCGTGGTCGTGTATCACTGCTGCGTGGTGCACATTAAAGGCCCCATGCTACTGGTTGTACCGCACTGGCTAAATTGCTCATCCACAGCTGAGACACCAGATGCCCACCGAGACAGACTAACTTCCGGCTGTATAAACATACGCCACTTATTACTAGGCCCATTTCTACTATAGTCAGCTACAGGTTAAGAAAAGTTTTTGAAAGAAAGGGGGGCAGGGGCGGGGGAAGCAGACAGAATGCTGGAGAAGAGAAGAGGAAACCTCCTCCTTTCTTCAGCATTCCATCTGCTTCCTCCTCCTCAGCCAGAAAACTTTTCTTAACCTGTGACTGACTATAGTTCTCGTCCTTAGCACTGTTTGTGTTCCTAATATTTAACCAACTAGCCCAACAGTTTTAAAGCACCCATTTTAAAATTTAAAGCAGAGGCTGTTTGTGGGTACACAGAGGAGAGTCTCGACGTGTGTGCATCTGGGAGCAGGGGTGCTGTGGCCACCAAGTGAACAATGCGACTCGACGTGAAAGGAAAACGGGAACACGTAATGAAGGCGGTGGTGTCGTAATGGAGTGTTGCCTAGAAAGCAAGTACAACATGAAGAAGGCCTACTGGTCGCCTTCAGGAAGCACGCGATAGCATAGAAACTATGGAGCAGAGGCATACCATAAAACACCGAGCAAGCACCCACCAATATTTGGAGCTAACTTGGGCAGGCTTGTTGGGTTCAAAAGCAAAAATGCAGAGAAGCACATGATGAGGTAGGCTTCACCATTCTGCACCGGAGAGCTTGGAGAAGCGGCTGACGAGGAGCATCTTGGTTAGATGTTTGGGCACTTGATATGTCCTTTGCCTAGTTTTTAAACGTTTCAGAAGTAGCGTGTGGAAACTCATCGTGACATGGGCACATGCTTGATAATTTACTGTAGGCCAAGCTGGTTCCCGGACGGAGCACCTACTAGAATGGATGTTGGATATTATTACCTGCTTTGTGATGTGCTAAAAGAGCATTGTGGTAATAATTTGTTCCGGAGTGTATATCAGACTTTGAGGCTATCATGTATGCCACAATTCCACGAAAAGCACCGTGGTAATTGTTTATTATTAAAAACCGAGTGTTGGTAAGGTTCATTTACACACGAAAGCAGACACATGTGTTTGTGTTGTATCTTTTGTCTGTATGTAATAATTTATGTACATAATTTGTGTTTATTCTTTAGTGTGTGGATGTATATAATTATGAGTATATACAAGATTTTGCTCGGCAATGCCCAAAATGTTATCTTATTACTGACCAAGCAACGAACTTGCATGTTTGTGAATATATAAAAATAGAACAAGTGCTCATAAATGATGATCACTGAATGCTAAAATTTGCATAAACCGATTGTCGGGAATGTGTCATGTTGTTGAGTGGATGTACGTTCCTATGTAGCTCAATAGACTAGTGACATGGAAATTTTTTTTTATTTTTTGTGTGTCTCCCTTAGCTAAGTTTGTGTAGTACCTATTAACCTGAACCTTGCCATAGCTACTCAGACCAATGTGTCACATGGAATGCTGCATCATTTCAAAAGTATGAAGTATAGCTCAAAATGAAACTAAAATAGGTTCACATGTATATGCCCAAATTTTTAAGCATCTTCAATCTTTTGCTTGTGTTCCAGTGCATCTGCTTATTTTTGTTAAAATAATCCTACTTTTTTATGAACTCAGTTATACTTTTGTGATTTTAAATTAATAGTTTTTTGTTCCCAGCATGTAGTTCTTTTCCCGACTGCCCGATTAGATGTAGATTTTCCTATCTGCATGGGATAGTATATCTCTGAGAAAAAGAAGTGCTTGTACTGTGTGCCTCAAACTTAACGCCGCCACAGCATTTGCTGTTTTCGACAGACCCTGCGGCGGCTGTTTGAACTACCTGAACAATGTTTGGGTTCCCGATTTCTATCCCATTCTGAGAAGGCATCGCGATCGTTTCGGTGACAAATTTAACAGTTAGTAGCCGACACGAGCTCAATGTTTGGGAACCCAGCGGCGGTGTTAAGTTTGGTGTGCACTGTACATACCTGTAAGCATGGAAGTAGGAAGCTTTTGGAGGTAACACGACGCCACCAGAAGTGAAGCCTCCGGTTTGGAGGGACGCCCCCAACAATGACCAAAACCAAAAGGCACATTTGGGCATCCTTGGAGGCATTGCCACCGATCGCGAGCTCATCTTCTGGCTTCACTTGGAACTTTCTCATTTGGCTGGCTTGAGCCAGTATGCCGCCTCCCGCCCCTTATTCCTACCTCCACGCTCTAAAGGCATGCACTATCTATGAAGGTGCACTACACAACTGTTAGCATGAACTTGACTTCGATGCTTATATGCATTATACTTCAAAAGGTACAGGCGGGCATAAAAATTCACTATACTCCATTCCACCTTCAGTCTAAGCGTAGTGGACGCCACGAGCTATCCCAGCCGATCCAGCGCCGGGAGAAAATTGCACGACCTGCCGGTTGGGAAGAGGGACACAGGGAGCTCAAGGTCACATGACACACCTCAACGCTGCATTGGCCGGGATGGCTCCTAATGTCCGCTGCGCTCGGACTGAAGGTGAAACGGAGTATAGTTGGTTAGTATCCCAATGGATGAGAATCGTATTGGCGTGCAGTCGTGTATCACTACTGCGTGATGCACGTTAAGAGACCCCAGGCTAGCGGTTGTACTGCACTGGCTAAATTTCTCATCTACAGCTGGGAGACTCGTCACCCGTTTAGGCAGACCAAGTTCTAGGCTGTATAAACATAAGCTCAACCCCCCCCAACTGATACTTTCCCCCATTATAGTAGTTTCGATGCAATTCTTCAATACTGAGAAAATAAAAAGCCAGCGCGGGCTTGTTCGTGTAAGTGTCGCGAATTGGGTGTCTCAACTTAGGTGTGCCATGCTGTTGCGGAATTTGTTGCTTCTACGTTAACGGTCACCTCCCGCTACGGCAGCATTCTCATCTGTGATAAGCGGACAGTGACAATGTTGAGGCCTGCAAGTTGCTCCGAGCCTGAGGAAATAAAGAGTGTGTTCAATTCAATTGGTGCATCTTCGCAGGACCTGCCTTTATGAGTCAAGGATACATTCTTGGCTTCGAGGGCAGAGGAAGCAAGCACCTCTATCCCGAAGACTGGTTGAACAGACGGCAGCGGACTGTGACTCGGCGACGGGTGCACCAGTGTCGCTTCTGCCCTTACTCCAGCCACTTTAAGACCGCCGTCACTGTTCATGAGAGGACGCACACCGGCGAGAAACTGTTTAGCTGCAGCATCTGCCAGAAGGCATTTTCGCGGGAGTATCACTTGCGGGTTCACGCAAGGTGCCACACCGGCGAACGACCGTTCAGGTGCCAAATCTGCGAGAAAACGTTTGCAGACATGAGCCACTTGGTTCGTCACGGTACAATCCACACCGGCAACAAACCGTTCAAGTGTGGCATGTGCGATGCTGCGTTTGATGACAGGTTCCACTTGAGGTGCCACGAGAGGGTTCACAGTGGAGAGCGGCCGTTCCGGTGCGAGGAGTGTGGAAAAACGTTCATGCAAAAAGTCAGTTTAAATGTGCATCAAAGGGGGCATCATCCATAAGGGACACCCGTTCCAAAGTACAGTCCTAACCAAACTTACGCTATGGTGCCTGGAACACATTTACGACTGGTACTGTGGTCTCGATTTCTGCCTGATGACGTCATAAAAGTGTCATGTCGTCGCCGGCCGTGATCCTGGTTGTGTCGCAACAGAGGCAGTGGATGTGGCAAACAGCTGTACTGCTGCCCGTCGCTCCTTAGCTTGACAATCGGCAGAAGTTTGGACAGCCAGGAGTTTGGGAGTTCTAGACCGAACTGCTAGGATTGCGACGTCTGACATGACACACCGGCTTCTGTGACGTCATTCGTTGCCACTTCGGGACCACTTTTGATACATGGAATAGGATGCTAATCCCACCATTCGAACGTGCGTTCTAGATTCCTTACTTACACGGAACATCCAAACTGCGCCTTATCTCGTGGGAGCTATATTCTGGTTGCGGCCAGAGAACTGCACAATGACGTAGCGCTATATGGAACAGCCCAAGTAAGAGAGGCTGTTCATTGATGGTCAATATCGCTGTTGGAACGTGAACACTATGATTTCAGCAGACACCTGTGCACTGGATGCGAATAAAGTCCCTCGATAAAATTCACGCTTAAAAGTTCCGCCAACCATTATTGTGGAAATGTGCAAGACACGTGTCACATGCTCCGCCGCCATTCGCTTCTAAGGGCCACTCGTTTCAGTGCTGCTAGCACACTGTAGTGCTGCACCGCCATTTGCTTCCAAGGGCCACTCCAGACAAGTGCCTCGTGCACTGGCGCGTTTGACGCTACTTGTGATACCAACGCAAGCACATTGAGGGTCTTTAAAGCGGCGAAAAATGAAAATCGCCCAGCAAGCAAAATTGCCGTGTTGTCCTCAATCCAACCGCCATTTTGGTACCGAACGAGCGGCCTCCCCTGCTTTGGCTCCATTAAGCGCTACGTCGTGCAGTTCTCTGGATGCTGCTAGGATAGCGGCTCTCACGAGATAAGACGTGGTCCGTGTGTTCTGCATAAGTTTGGCGACCTCTGTACAGGGAGGTGTAGCATGGTACATTTGTGCCGTGTCGTTTTACCCTTTCATTCAAGGCTGTCTCGACGGACTACGCGCTAACTGATTGCCCCTTTGAAAACCATCTGTGATTTGCCAAAAACTGATTGTTTTCTGGCATTCCCTAGAGTTGGTGCAACTCGTAGAGAACTTGCTTTAAAGGAGGGGCTCCTTGCAACATGCATGTAAGCGCCTTCTTGTTATGTCGTGTCCCGGAGTATCTGACTTGTGTGTACTGTCGAGACCAGTTATATCGAAATCAACGGGAATCAGAAATCACTTTGCTATATTCGCTATTTCGTTATAACTGACCTGTGTTATAACCTGCCGTAAAGAGGCAGTAGAGAAATTATATACTTTCGTGCAATGGGAAATCTCGGACAGCTGCTTGTGGAACCTGTAGATTATATTAAGTAAATCTCTCCAACACCACCCTTTACTTTCCCTCTCACTCACCCTCTTTCTCATCATATTCATGACGAGGTGGGTATGGGGAATTTAGTACTTTGCACAGATTTTTGCATTCTGTGTCAGGCCAGCTGGCTGATGTGTACATTTCACCGATATACAAGCAGTGACCCAAAAGAAAGCGGATTTTATTTTTATAAAATTGCGTATTTATTTTTACGCGCCTAAATTCCAGTCACCTTCAAAGTACTCTCTGCCTAATGCAATGCACTTGTCAAGAAGTTTATTACAATGCTCAAATAGCCTTTAAACCCGTCGGTTTGGATGCCTTTTAGTGCTTTGGCCACTTTTTGTTTAATCTCTTCCGCACCGACAAACTTAATATTGATTACTTTTAATTTTTATCCGGGGAAACAAAAACATTGTGCGGGGCAATGCCCGGTTGAATAGGCAGGGTAGGCCATGCTGTTTTTGTCAAAAACTGCTGAATGTTCGGCACGGTGTGGGCAAAATGTCAACCCAAATTATGGTGAGACTGGTTCGTCCACCATGACAATGCACCTGTCGTAGCGCACTGAGTGTACAGCAGTTTTTTCAGCAAAAATGGTACGATTCCCTGTGCCCCACCCTCCCTATACACCCAATCTTGCTGTCTCCCCAGATGAAAAAGTTCTCATAGGTAAATGGCTTGAAGATGTGGAAGACGTACATGGAACTAAAAGCAGCTGAAGCACTGAAAGAATCGTTGACCTTAAGCGCTATTTTTAGCATTAATTGGAAGAAACGTTTCCACAAGTGCATTGCATTAGGCGAACATTAAAGGTGACAGAGTTGAACGTGTAAATATAAAAGATTTTGTAAAAATAAATTCCGGTTTTTTTAATCCCTCCCTCCCTCCTTCCTCCCCTCCCTCCCTCACCCCCCCCCCCCCCCCTTGTACGTACTGAGCTGTCCACTTCAAGCGTGGGAACGATTTTAAATGATGTGCAGAACTAACAACCTGCTCAAATAAAAAATACTTACGCTGGGCTGTGTCATAGCCTCCTATATACTGGCAAAGCCTGGCAGATTGCCACGAGAAGCGGCTACCGAAATGTTAAAGGTGGAGTGGCAGACAATGGATGAGAAGAGGCACGTGACTGGCGCCCCGCTGCAATGAGACGCCGAAACCCACTTCTCCCAAGCGAACAAGTGTGTTTTGGGTCCTCGATGCTGCAAAAGCTGTGCGCTGACATCCAGGTTTCCCGAGAAATGGCTCTTCGATGGTCTGTGCTACAAGATCCTTGCGCTCCAAATTTGTGACAGGGAATTCTATGGCTCGGTCGTCGAACTGCCAGGCTTTGCGAGTATAGAGGAGGCTATGGCTGTGTCAATGCCACCTAGACAGCAAGGCGGTAGCACTGGATGTACTAGGTCGCCTACAAGAAGCCAGAGCAGATTGGACTCGAGTCGCGTTGGCGGTCGGCTGGGATTCGTGTTTTCACCGACTGGACACGACTCCTGTCCGAAAGCAGACACGTCACTCTTGTGTAATCTGTGCCCCGCACATGCTACTTGTAGGTGCCTTGGAATGCCTATCGCTTCAACCTTGCTATCCGGGAGTTGTTGGCTGTGTCGACGTTTCGCAGCGTGCAGTACCTTCGGGGCTCAATTAAGGTGTCACCTTTTCGTCTTGACGTGTGGTGGGCAAATAAACGTTTCAAGCATTGCAATCCCGTTCTCCCACTTTGTTTACTTCATTTAAAGACTGCTTCAGCCCAGCAGGACGTGCACCAAGGTAGTTCATGTGAGTGCACAAGCTCCTCACGAAGTTGCTATCCTCTTTTTGCTGTGCAAGATCAAGAGCATTGCCTATCTTAGGGTCAAAAATATCTGGGCAAGCAATCCTCTTTATGAGCTTAATAGAAGAGTGCGTTGCAATTTTGCTGAAAATACTTACAACGCTAGTGCAGGTGTCGTCTCGACCAAATAAGAAAAGCCGAACTGCACAGTAGACGGTCCCGAACAAGGAAGCCCTTGACCTGCAGGCAGTACCAAGGTTCTAGCTGTAACACTAAGACGGTACGTGTGCCACAGCTGCATAAAACAATGTTCAACGTCAAAGACGAATGTTCTAGCTTAAGAAGTTTGGTAGGCTAAACTAAATTAAACTTCGAAAGGACTCTGAGAAAAAGAAAAGGGAGTTGTAAAGGTGATACGAGGCTTGGACGAAAAACCCTGCGACCACACCTGAAAGGGCCACAGTGGGATTACGAATTTCAAAGTGCAGGAAAGCCGACTTCGGCAGCATGGGACGGGAAAGTTCTGGTTGGTCAATAGGGCAATGACGTCGCAGCCACATGACCTTGCATGGGAATTTAAAAATAAAAACCACAACGCTTGCGTGAAACCTGATGTCACGCGTGGAATGAAAGTGATTAAAAAACATGACATGACATGCAAAATAAAGATTGCCTCATGTCTCAAATGATTTTACTTAATAAAGTATTTCATTTGCCTTAAGAAAAAAATAGAATTTTAGGCGGAGACAAGCTTCAAGCCCACGACTTTTCGGTTGCAAGCCAGACACTCTACCAACTAGGCCAGGCAGACACGCTTGCGCGGCTCCGGAACAAGTGGGGTTTATATGTTAATTTAGCTATCACATTCCACTCTTAAAGGCGAAGCTTATTTTTTCCAGAAGGGCAACTCTTCTTTATACTGCACGCCCAGTTTCATCTGCGCGATACTTGCAAATGAACGTATGAAGTACAAAGTCCTCTTTTTGGTGTTCAAGTTGGCCTTGTTGGCATACACCAGTGCATGAGGAGTAGCACCAACTCAAGTTGTGGCTTTGCTTTTTTTGTTTGTTTCTAATAACTTGTTTAGAAACAAAACTCCTGATTTATCTTGATTATACAAATGAAGTCGGTATGTACAGAATTTGTTTCCAGATAATTTTTTTAGATTTGTGGCGGGCGTTGCAATTTACTTTTTTTATGCCATTTTTTTTTAACTTTATTCTTTTTGACGTGATGGCGAGCAGGTCTGATTTCAATTGTTGCTTCCCATAAACTACTGGAACGCAAACGCCGGTGGTCACGTTCAATCAGTTCATCATGCAATCACTGCCTGAAATCGAAAACCGTTCCCCCTTATCGGGAAAATATTTGCCTTCTATCGGTGCTTATAAGGCAAAAACGTTTCTCTGGTTTATTTCAGTTTCTTCCTTGTAGGTGACTGAAACTTTACTAACACCATAGGCCTGTTTCTCTCGGCCAGGGGGCGCTGTAGCGTCCCCGAGACACGACCAGAAAAGAGACACCTCCGCTAGTGTCCGTGAGACGCAACCACATTTAATTTAATGCTGACGTGATGCGACGTAACCCGCTTCACGACTCCGAAGACAAGCAAATTCACAACGTACATTTGTGGGACTGCTAAATCCGTGAGTCAAAGGCCAGGAGAAATTTACAGCAGACGGGCACTGTGCACAAACGTACGCAAGAAAAAAAAAAGAAGAAAACGCGAGGCAACACATTGCGGCTCTTGCTGCGGCGCAACGGGTTGTCCTCGATGTTGCACAAACTTCGCACGGCACGACCGAGAAGCGCTGTGCACAGCTCATCGATGTCTTCGAAATCTGTTTCAAAATATCAGGAACACAGTCGCCAGTCATAAGATGATAATGTCAAACAACGCCAGAGGATCACATGATATTCTACAAGCTTGTAGAGAAGCAACGTGTACCTTCTGTGGTGAGGGCTGTCACGTTCAAAAAGGATCTCCTGGTTGTCAACAGAGGAAGAAATCTGGTGCCAGAGGCACTTCCTCTGCTGGTGCAAGCAGGTGCAATTAAGCTTCTGTGCACTATGAAAATTAAAACAATCGCGTGGGTAGCACGTGCACTACCCGTAAAGAGGGAAATAGTAGAAGCGCCCCTTGTGAACTTGTCACTGCGGATAGGGCGTTTTCAAGTGACGTCTATCCGCTTTCTTGTTAGATGTCGAAATAGTCTATCAGATTGAATCCTTAGAATACTCATCTTCGGCACGCACCTGACAGCAGAAAACAACAAAATGGTGGACGAAATGACGTCAATGAAAACGTCCTATAGCACCTAGTGATCCCAAGCTAGCCGGAACAGGCAAAAGCAGGTGTGTACAGCTAATCGTCTCGCGGGAGCCGACAATCTTCGCACTACAAAATCATAACAGGCTTAATAAATTATAGTTAATTTTCAAATGTAAACTAATCCTAGCAAATAACAGTTCAAGCAACTATGCACATCATGTGTTTAGCTCATTCGCAACGCATTCTATGTGTCTCCGAGTTTATTAGTAAGATAACTTTTCGTGTTTCGTGTCCGTCACCAAATAAGTGTCGACACAAAACTCTGGACAGCCACTGCCATCTATGAGCAACAACGGCAACTAGACAACCGGCTTGGTTAACGCCGTCGCTCATAGATGGTGGAAACCGCTCCGGTTTTTAGAGTCTGGTTTTCACCAGAGTGGTAAGACTGAATTTCTCTAGGCATTGTCCTAGAAGTCATCCTCGAGGTCATCCTAGACGTCGTCCTCGAGGTCGTCCTAGACGTCGTCTAAGGTCGTCCTAGACATAGTCCCTGAGGTCGTTCTAGACGTCGTCTTCGAGGTCGTCCTAGAAGTCGTCCTTAAGGTCCTCCTAGATGTCGTCCTCTAGGCGTTGTCCTTGAGATTGTCAAAAAAGTCGTACTTGAGGTTGTCCCACCATAGTACAGATTCGCTGGTCTTCCTTCTTCACCAGAGTGGAAAGGCTGAAAGTTTTTTTTAAGAGAAGTATTTTGTAGTGAAACACAGTCATGGTCGACATTGCTGGAAATGGTACTCGCCGTGTTGTTACACTTTTTTGTGCCGATGTAGTGCCTGTTAGGTCCTCTCACGTAACTCAGTTAAGACGCCAAGTTGCTAGACTCGATTACTAAAAATTAAAAAATAAAATAAAGAGGGTGATATCTACATAGCTTTAGGAGCAGCTCCCGGTTGAGGGTTCGCTTATCTACGACATTGCCTCGAAATTCAAATTTTCCAGAAAACACACTATTTTCAAAAGTTATATGTTTGTTCATTAACTTCCAAAGAATGGTTTCAGAAATTTTCATTTATAAACATGCAGGATTTATTTCGCAATAAATTATTTTCGAGATGTCGGCAGCCCTCCGAGTCAGCAGGGAGCAAGTTTTTGCATTTTTTACTTAGCGCTGCTTCATAATCATTTAAACATAGCCACACATCTAACCCTCATTTGAAGCGCCATTTACTCTAGATTTAGCCCGTAGAAGCAGTCAAAGTTTAAAAGTATCAATTGCCAGGAGAACCCTTTACATCCAAACAGAAAAAAATCCGGAAGATTTCGTATGAGCAATCTTGTTGGTTGAGACACGAAATAGGGTTTACGATTGGTCCTGCCCGGTGACGTGATCTTGTGCCATCTTCAGTAACACCCTTTCACAGTATCGTCTACTTCAGATCATATTCCTGCTTTGCTGCTCTTCCTTAGTATGATTTGCCTCTTAGTTCTTGCCAGTTTATCTGTCAAGGAACGCCTGCTGCAAAAGTTGGCTTGCTTACAAACGACACAAACTGGTAGCTACTATTGCCAGGAGAACAACGAAGACTCGAAGAGGAAGGTGCTAACAATGCTCCATGTGAATTTTGCCTACCTCAGACTCATAGAAAAGAAAGAAATCTAAGGTTGAAACTTCAAACGCATTTTTCTCAGTTTCACTTTTTAGCAGGAAATGTGGTATGAGGAAATGTATCATTTGACATTTTGAGAGTGTAAAGATTTCATTCAGTGGTGTCCTGGACTGAAATTTCCTCAGGAACAAGTTAAGGTACTCATCATATGAAAAAGCTAAATTATTCATGACAAAAACTGAATATTTTAAAAGAAATTTGTTAAAATCTTTTGCACCTTTTGGGTTTTATTGTTTTTCTCTAGATTTGCATTTTCTATAATTAATTTTTACCTCAACTTGCACTATGGGTACTCTACTTCACATTAAAACAAACATTTTGTGGATTGCAATTATTATATTTTTTAAACACATTTCCTACTGAAGTCACTTTTTTCTGGAGCTTTTTAAGCACAGTATGTTGTAGAATTCGCCTACAAGACTGAAACTACGGATGTCATCAATCCTAATGGGGTTGAATTCACCCTGAAAGTTTGAATCAATTTAAAGAAACGGTTCAAAAGTTGATTCTTTCAGGGCATGTCCCCTTTATCTATGCCTGCCTGCTGACCGCCGATGAAATGACATTTTAACAGAGCACATAGTTTAATTTGAAACGAATATATGTTGAGTACATTTTCAATCCCAATCGGGTCGAAGTCAAAAGTCCAACCCCCCGCCTACACCCATCAGCATTAAGTACATCCGCCTAGGGAATCTCCATGTTCCCAGGTTCCCTCGGGGTAACCTTCGCCATCCGTCCCAAACATGGTAGACCAGGCCCACATTCCTCTCTCCACCACCAGAGTTCATAGCTGCAGCTTGCCGCACTTTGATGCACTCGTCGTCCAGGCCCAGGCACTTGTCAAATGGTGATTTGCAGGCCGCCTCCACTTGTACGCCGGCGGTACCCTGTGGTTTTCCTTAAAGGGATACTGAACCGAAATTTGGATTTTGCAAAATAAGGCTGCAGAAGCGTTGAACGGGACGGTACAAACTCCAAAACATCACTGATACATCGATATCCCACACGGATGGCTGTACTTTTGGAAAAGAAGGGTGCGATCAAGCGAGGTCTATGACATCATTGTCCCTTTGGAGGATTTGAGAATGAGGACAAGCGGCCTCGCATCTCTCCTCTTTTCATCGGTTCACCAGCTCAACGGGACGTAGCGAGGAGGAGAAAGAATGAGAATCTTTTGTCTCGTTGGCCGTGTTCAATCGTTGCACTTCTTTTCCGAAAATACTGCGATCCAGTAGACATACCGCTGTAGGAGATGTGTTTGGGCTTTGTAGACTCCCGCCTATCCATCTAGCCTTGTTTTGTGAGCTCGAAATTTAGTTCGATATCCCTTTAACGAGCCACATAGCCACCCCGACAGGGCGAGTGCCCCCAACACACCCACACGCACGCACACACAGCCACCGGGCCATTAGCGAGCGTCGGGAGAAGCACAAACAAAGCGGGGGATGCCTGCGTCCTGGCTCCTACGAGGTGTCGGGCAACAATCTCGGCCGGCGCATCCCCTGTGGGTAGGCGTAGTCTCCCATGGCGTCTGGAATGCAGCAGTCCTCTTGACTTGCCGATGTAAGGACTGAAGGCAGTATATTTATTGCCCCCGCTTCCAGCCTTGCCATGAACAGACCCGACAGGGTGTATTTGCACACACTTGTAGTCTTTGTGTTTTTCCTTTCATATCTTCACTTAAATTTTTCTTTCTCCTCTTTCTTATTCGCTTGTATTAAAACGCGAGTTGTCAGTCAGAGACGGACCCAAAGTAACAACTGACCTTAGTAGGGATAAACTGACATTGGTCAGGATAAACAACCGAAGTTAGTCGGGACAGCATAAAGGCATAATGGCACCTTCATGCTGCGACCTCCTAGGTCCTTGTTCAAATTCCCCATCCAAGACGTGATGGTGCGGTGAAAGTCTCGTGAAAAAAAGTGGACCGCCTCAAATATTGCAGTCTGCCGTTGTAGTTTCCTGATCCAGGCCAAAGAGGACCGCACCTCCCATCACAACAAAAATCTGCAGGAATCGGCAAACGAGCCCCTCCAACCGTGATGTGCCCTTGACCTTTTTCAACTCCGAAAGACGACGTTCTGGAGTCGTGACCATGCGGTACCCCATTCACCGTGCTGCAATCTACATGGCTGGCACGCTGCCTCCTGTGCACAACCTGGTTGTGGGAGTAGCTCTTCTTTGGAAAGATAGCTATCATAGAGAGGAAGGTGGTATTGGTGCTGTACTATTAGGCTGCAGCAATGTATGAACTCGAGCTACGTGATGCATGGTATTCCCACGAAAAAAAATCACAAGGACAGAGTAAAAGAACTAAACAAATGTAGCGTAGTATCTGTCTGGCACGTTCACTCTATCCTTGTTTTCGTTTGTTTATTCAGTTACCTTCAGGTCCAAAGGCATTCCAGAGGAATGTTGTGGGTTACATAAGGATATAAATGAAAAACAAAGACCACCGGCAACATCAACAAAAATAAACACAACTCTACGACATGTTACCAAGAAAAACTTAGTCTCGGCAGCTCGAAAACCCGAGTTAACAAGGAATTGGCCTCGGCCAGGCGATTCCGTTTTACAGAACAGCTGCGAATAAAAGGAGCATGACAAATGTTTTCTTTGACTGGACTGAACGACATATGTTTGTGATGGTAATCAATGCACACTAAAATTAATGATCTTGATAGAACCCATTTGTTTAGAATTCAGTAGTTACCTTACCAAACATAAAGTATTTCTCTGCAATGTTAAAAAAAGGGGTAAGGATAAGCTTACCCTAACCACACTTAAACAAGAGGTGATGATAACTAGAAAGCTTAAAACGAGATCTGGGATTTTGCACACTTAGATTTCACAATTTCAATTCCAAGTATAATTGTTTGCTTGTCATAGTTCTTAACTTGTCTTAGCACATTCCTATGCTGGAAGGGGGCTTATGCCACAAATGAAAGATACCAAGGAATACTAAGACAATAATTACTTTCTTTTTCATTACCACAAACCTCTGCTAATCTGCTGCATGGCATGCAAAACAAACACAAAAGATTGTATCAACATACAAAAAGATAATGAAAGATAAAAACAACCAATGCAAGAAATACAGTAACAGTTCATACTATGCATACATAGGAGGAGAATGATTTACGTAGTGAATGAATTTTAGATGGCAGAGCTTAGTTCAGATAATCATATAGTATTTATCTCAATGACATTATGCTGAAGGAATTGTGCTGAGAACTGGTTGAACATGCTGCACAGAAATATCTGGTCTCAAACTACTATATAGGAAGCTCTGGTTTAATCTCACGCTCTACATTTGCTTCAGCAGGTGCCTAGCTGCTTGAGTGCAGTGTCACAAAATGTGTTCAACCAGAAGTATTTATGAATGGCAGAAAATAAAGCCCTGGGGCATGGCAGAACAAAAATGCACCTATTGTATTTTCTAGTGAGAGTCACTTTTTGTTTTTCAAAAATTTTCGTCAGTGCATTTTTTACAACAATGCAACTTATATGCAATATTTTCTAGAACTATGGGCCTTAACCCTTTGGAGTCATGTGTCGGGTGACCCCCATCAAAAAAAATATTCAGGTTCTGCTCAAATGTCGGGGCTCCCCCGAAAGGCCCATTTCTCCTTTGCAGTCGGGTGTCGGGCGCACCCCGACAATTTCAACTTGCGCCATCTGTCATCGGGAATGTAAACTAGACTTTCTTAGTTTCTTCGCCCTCCGAAAGATGCCGCAAGTGACGCTACAAATTTTTGTTTTTTTGCGAAATGCGCGGGCGGGAAGAATGTTGCGCACCCTTTTACGAGTTCAACATGGCAGCCTTTACACCGTCCGCATTTTACGGAAAGGCTTGTGACTCAAGTGACAGTGAATGTGATTTTAGTGGAGAAGACACCTTTGATCTAAAGGAGGCCTCTGAAATAGTCTCTGACGAGTCCTCAGAGAGTGACAATGACAGCACCGAGAGTGATGAGATGTGCGCTGACGATGTCGCGCACGTCTATTTGTTTGGTTGCTGGAAGTGGGAGTTGTCAACAGCTACATTCTCTTCTGCCTCGAAAAAATCAGCCAAGGCGAGCAAGCGCCGCGGCACCTCACGTTTCAGGAGGCATTGATAAAGGACCTTGTTGGAAATGTCCGCAACCAGCCAAGAAAACGGGGGCGCTCTTCCGATGGAGACTGCGAAGAGAGACTGAGCGGAAAGAACCACTTTATTTATAAACTTGATGGAAGCAAAAGCAAGGACTGCGCCGTCTGCAGCGACAGAAAAACCAAGGGGCAACGGCGCGGAACAGTGTTCTACTGCAAAACCTGCACTCATCAACCTGGCCTGCACCTTGGCACTTGCTTTAAAAAGTACCACATGCTGCGCAAGTACCGCTAGCATTTCAAGAACTAAAAGCACCCAGGAGAATGCAGTTATTTTCAATTGAACATATTACTATATTAAAATAAAAATGTTAAATTTGAAGTTACTTGTTGCTTGTATCACTTTTGCATAAACTAATTCTGACCTGAGGGGCCAACAAGGGGAAAACTCACATGACCCCAAAAGGTTAACTATGAAACTTTGCCAGAGGAGTTACATCTCTCGTTTAGTTCGGTGACGGTTATATTGAAACTTGCTCTTACTTGCAGACATATTGCAATCATAACACACATATGCGGGATTTTCAATTAATATCTGTTGTGCCAATCATACAAATATATCAGTGCGACTTGTATGAAGGGGCGGCCTTTATACCAAAGTTTTCATGAAAACAGCCATTTATATTGCAGCGCGACTAATGCACATGTGTGATTTATGTACCAGAAAATATGGTACATGCTCATTGCAATGGTGACCTTTTGGTTCTCTATTAGTGATGGTTCCATTTGCATTCCTGACTCCAGAGAGTTAACGGCAGCGAGTATTGGTAGATCATAGACGATTCATGAAATAAGCAACCAGTTAACATGTGGTTTTGACCCAAGATGGTCTCGAATAAAAGGGTAAAATGACACTGTGCAACTATGTTGAACCACACCATTCATTACATTCCGATGGACGTCCCTCATGGATGATGGTCCTTCTGATGTGCATTTAAATGAGTTCCCTGCACAAACTTTTCTCCACACTGCTCACAATGAAGTAACGAGTCTCTATAGTGAAGTCTCTCGTGACACCTCAACTGGAACCGCCGTCTGAACGCGGCCCCACACGTTTCGCACCTGTATGGTTTGTCTCCAATGTGGACTTTTTCATGACGCGTCAAGTCACTGCTTTTCGCAAATGCCTTCTCACAAATCTCGCACCTGAACGGCCTCTCGCCCGTATGAATCCTCACGTGAGCCTGCAGGGTACTTTTGTGTGAAAACGCCTTCTGACAAATCTGGCACTTGAACGGTTTTTCACCCGTGTGAATTCTTTCGTGAACCTGCAGGTTACCCTTCACGGCAAACACTCTGTGACAGATGTGGCAGCTGAAGGGCTTTTCGCCTGTGTGCGTCCTTTCATGCCTCTCAGCGCCCCACTGAAACTCCTCTCGGTGCTGGTGCGCCATCTGCTGCCACATGTTGAACAAGTCGCTTTCAGAAAAGTGTTCACCCACGGAGTCTTCACAGCCAAGGACCTCTTCTTCGACTTGAATGGCTTTTGGGACAGGCCCTGCAAGAGAAACAAGCCAAATTGTATTTAGCAGGCTTTCTTTTATCAAGACCAGCAGCTTGAAGACAAAAATGCACCTGAGCATCAACGCAGGCAGGGTAGAAGGTGCTCATTAACTTATGAATGCAGTGCTCCCAAGAAACATTGTTTTTTAGTGCCTGGAGAGGACATATATGTCACAAAATGAACTTTTTCTAAAGAGAACCAAAACATTAAACACATTAACATTACCAGTGTTTTGACTTGGGAGCAGTTCCAAGACTTGCTTTTGTTCCAGGGTCGTCACGATAGCAAAGCTCGTTGCAGAATTGCTCTCAACTCCAAATGTGTCTCGCAACATAAATACTACAGTAATTTTTTTTTTTTTAGGAAAGGTATTTTTTTACAAATATACCTGATCCAGGCACTTAAAAAAATGTTTTGTGCCAGTTTAGCATCTCTTTAAAGACGGAAGATTCTATAGATAGATTGTTTTAGGTGCGTAGAGCATTCTCCATACTGAAACTAAATAAAACTTGGGCATCAACTGCCTACAGACTTCGAAGTACTTAACTAATTCTATTTCACGCTTGATGAATACTCGAAATCTCGTTTTTATTCCCTCTCCTAATATTTTATTAGCCAGTTGGCATTAAAATAGTGCTTGCAGCCTTGTAGCAACATGTTATACACTATTAAAAACATATACCATATTTTCCGGTGTATAAGTAGCGTTTTTTTGTTTTTTTTTCAAACATCTTTCTTGGTGCGTTTTATACAATGATGCGACCTATATGTGTTTTTTTATTTCACGTTGAGACGTCAGTTTATTTATGTGCCGCATGCCATTTTTTGTAGAGCACCGTAACTACATAGCCATAGGTGGCGTTGCCCCTCCAAGGGGGCACTGCCGTCACCGCACTCTTTTACACTTTTCGTAACCGAGTCAGAAAACGAGAAATTTTATGGTTTTCTTGAAGCGGCTCAATGTGGATAGGCAAGACAGTGAGAATAAACCTTCTTCAGCATGCGATCAACGTTGCCTAATTCAGCTATGGTTTTCTATTCTTTTGCTTTAGTCCAATAACACTGAAAGGAAAGTGGGCCAGTATACACACATTGCAAAAAGTTTTTCGTGTCTTTTTTAGTTTCCAAATGATAAGCAGTTTTGTATGCCATACGCCAGCCGTGTTTCTACATGGAAAAGGAAGGCTTGCGGCTAGCCGATGTTTTAGCAGCATACAAAGTGTGTCAAGATTTATCTATCTGCCTGCACATCGATGTTCGCATCATCTCCGTGACTTGGCCAAGGCTAGGCCTAGTGGTCTAAAGCTTGATTCACGAGTGTCTGGAATGTTAAACTTTCGTTCGCTCGACATGTGTGCGCTCAAATAAAGCCGACTTGACTACCTTCTCAATTTATATGTCTAGGTCCTTTTGCTGCGAAACACTTGATTGCTATCGCCAGACAGCACCGTGCTATGGGCATATCTTGCGATTCAAAACGTCGAAGTTGTTGCTTATCAAACGGTACGTGTGAACTAGCCGATTGTGCGAAACTCCAATTTTGTGATACTGATGCGCGTAAAACGAAAAAAACTCATCGCGTGAACTGAGCAAAGAGGTGCGACTTATATACCAACTTTTTCGCGAAAACAGCTTCATACACGGAAGTGCGACTTATACAAAGGTGCGACTTATAATCCGGAAAATACGGTAGGTGGATCCTGTGTGAGAGCGACAGGCCACTCGGCTAAAAGGAAACATGATGATTTTAACACAGCACTTTCAAACAGGCTTCATTCATGTGAACACTGCTTTAGTGGACTGGATCCAGTGTGGTAGTTCGGTTTGGGGGAAAGAGCAGTTGCGTGTAATTTTCTTTGCTTGGGCCACACACAATTCTAATGCTGTCACATTGGTGGAAAGAGAAATGGTTTGAAAGAACTGGTCATGCCAAAAGTTGGCCGGTGGTTGGAGAAGCCCTCCCTAACCTATGGATTCCCTAAAGATATATTTCCTAGATTGAGAAAATGGCCACACATTTTTACCACAAGGTTTAGAAGAGGCTGAATAGACAACCATGATAGATCTCAATGCAATGGTACACAACACTGTCCACATTTAAGACCAATTTCAGCAAACCAAGCCACCAGTGGTGTCCAAAAATATGTAATAGTGCAAAACAAATGTCTCCCACCTATTACAGAACATTTAAACACAAAAGCAGTAAAGCTGGGAAAGCATGAACAGAACAAATGGCACCACCATTGAATATAAATAACAATTCTGTGCAACAGCAGCACAAAATTAAATCAAAACATGATTGGAGATAATGCGAAACAACTCAGCATATTTCCTGTTAGAAGGACGCCCATGTATGTACCCTTCAATATAAAAAAGGACAGGGCACCATCTGAGGCTGCTGAAAAAAGGTGCAGCAAAGAAAGTCTTTACAAGGAGTCACTTAGGGAAGTCCTTTAGACGGCTACTTCACCACACTGGTTTTGTTTGCAGAGATGTGACATTAGTGGATTGGACCAGGTGGGTTGGCTATTTGGGGTTGGGAAAACGGCAATAAATTGGACACGATGCCAAAGCATGGTAACATCCGTTCTGATCCAAAGACGTCTTATCTATGTGAATAAACAATCTATCCGAAGGGTCAGAGCCACCATAAGTTGGCTTGACTGGTGGGTGCTTCATTCCACAAAGTAGCAATGTGCAAATTCGCTGTATTTGCTCCAAGACAATCCAAGAGAGATAGACCTGCAAATAAAAATTGGAAATTTATTAATGTGCCACTCTGTTCACAATGTCTATGGGCTACAACAGTGCAAAGAAAAAAGCAACTTGCCACGTGGTACTTCTATACACAAAAGTACAAAGCAAGAAATTTTCCCTTGTCATCAGACAAACCAATGTAAACTTGCGCCTAACAAAATCAGCTAGAATGCATGCCAGGTCACTCATGGTTTGTTTTCAGATGCAAGTGGCCCTGATAGACATTTTACAAGTGCCCTCTTCTGAGGGTTTTCAGTGCACAACCACTGGTATATTGCTACGTAAGGTTGTTAAAAAGGGTAGGGAAACGAAATTCCAGCGCTCATTTTCTAGCATGAACGTGTTGCATAATGCACCCTAACCTCAAAAGCACCAGTCTTCCGTTGAAAGGCACAAAAAAACTAATTTTAAAGCTAAATAAACAATCTTTCAATGTGCACCTGGTGGATGCACGCAGAGTCTATTTGGGAGGTAATCTAGCAATTTTGGGGAACTTCCCACGTAGTCATGACGTAGCAGACTCCTTCGGAGCAGCGCCACTCTTTGGCATTTCAGCACTTTCCTCCTCAACTCACAAATCGCGCATTGTACCAAACGGCCCAAGAAGACGGAAAGGAAGGACTCCACTCTTTCTCGGACCCTCGTTCGTGCAACCGGACACAGCCACTCTTCCCCTAGAAGATTAGCCTGTCGCTCAAAACTCGAACAAAAGTTGCTTTCCCCACCCCGTTCAGCCCTAAGCTGACAGTGTTGTAAAAGCTACGTGCTCCTTGGGCCAGCCACACACTCGTCACCCCACGGGTACTTTGAACGGCTCGGTTGTAACGCGCTGACGCTATTGACACCACCACAACGTTGACAACGCCACCAAGGACAAAGCTCATAACCACGCCAGCCTTGCAACGTCACGAATGCGGGGTATCTTTTCTTTCTGTTTTTGTTTGCGCCGGATATCCCATGATGCATCGCGCTTTCCGTTCGCTTCCCTTTGAGCGCTTGCTCGAGTGCATCGTTTGGAACGAAAAATATAGCCAGTCGTTCAAAATGCAAACGTGCGATTATCATTTACGGTTATTATCCGTCATGCTTGACTCATTTCCGAACGAAATTTGAATATCACAATTTTTGTTTCCGTACCCCTTTAAGGGGACATGCACCAGGGTAAAATTTTTTTTTTTTTTATTACAATATCAAAAATGAAAGTTTGTAGTTTATTGTGTTTAATCTTCTCTTTAGGAATCTGGTGTTAGATTTGGTAGAGTTCTTTTCTTTTTTTTTTTTCAGGTTCTTCGCGCAACGTACATGCAGAAAAAAAACATGTTCTTGTGGATATGTGAGGCATGGCAACACACTTAGAAAAGCCTCGTAAAGTAAACTAATTTGCTCCTTCTAAACCACTGAGTGCAATGAACAACTAAGATAATGAGTGCAAAGCTTCTATCCTCTCAAATTAATTAAAAAGAGCAAAAATGCCATATCAACTTGCCATAACTTTTTCATAAATATAAAATAAAGATATTCTAACCAAACCTAGAGTCGCATTCTACATATTCTAAAGTATATGCATACCAAATTTGGTTGTGATAGAACAATAGACCCATTTCAAAATTGTGAAATGATGCATAGATTATGCAGAGCCGCCATTAGTTGTTGTCATCACTTCTGGCGTGAAGCCTGTGAATGGTTCCGAGTTTGTGCCGAACACTGACACAGCACTTGTGTCCAATGTGTGTTCGCAGTGCATAACCAACTAATTATACGAAAAATAATATTGTGTTAATAAATTTCTGTGAGAAATTGAAGCTACAGAAGACTGCAATGAAGAGAAGATGGCTAGGCCTACTTGTAAACATAAATATGATGGTGGGCGACGTCGTAACTTGAAGAACCACAAAGAGATGAATGACTCAAAATCATGCCATTCTGCATTGCCTGGAGGTCTTTGATAGCGTATTTGACTAATTCCGAGATCATAACCGGCACTAATTATTTTTTTTTATGTCAAATATAAAGATTCAAAAATAATAAAACACCAAAAAACCCAAAATCCCAACTTTTAGAAAATATTGCCATTTTTTACTTGCATCTCTTCTTAATTTGTAATTATTAATCAAAATAGGAGTGAGTAGTCACGGCCCTAAACAAGACAACTTGAATATTTTAGTTTTTATCGAAGTGAAATTATGTTTCTGCTCATTAACATTCTTCACAGATTTTATGCAGCTTTTGATGGTGATGCTTGAACTCTAAGTTTAGGAGGACTGTGCATAAACTTTGAATTGTGTATGATATAATAATTGACTACTTCCTAATGCCACAAACCAATATGACCATGTGCACTGATCACACCGAGAATTATTAGAAATCTCGAAATAAAAGCTTATTCCACTATAAAACATAATATCCGAAAATTATGCCTCCTTGCATGAGGCCTTGCAGCATATAATGTTTGCCAAAATAGCCTGGAAAAAAGGATGCAATCATGCCTCCTGTTTACGGTCACTTTGGAACTAGCCACCAGACAATAGTAGCTCTTTTTGCCACGGTCTGTACGAATGCCATTGGGAAGCCACGTATGAAGTAGTCTCCAAAGTTTCCAGGGCTGGGCCTATATGGGAACCTTCGTGTGCAGAAAGCACACGGTGATTTGTCCATTGTATTAAGACAATCCCCCTGTACAAAAGTGCAGAACTCCTCCAAGTAGGTCACGCATTAGCTACTTGTACGGTACATACGGGTACTGCAGGCATAGTATATACAGCTCGGCGATTTGGGAAAAGTTGTTTGCCGAGTAGTGCACTAAAGACCCGCTCACACGATGCATTTTTCTCGCGCATCTAGTGTCGCGATATGTAGTTTCGCGAAATGGTTGCACCGTCTGAACGAGTCAGAAAAGGACGCACGCATCTAAAAAAAGTTGCGCGCACACATCGCTTCTGGAGCGAGCTTTTGCTGAAACTTTGCCGAGTCCTGTCAATCACTCTGAGGGCGCCACCAATGGCCGCTCAGAAACGCTCTCACGTGGCCTTTGAGGGGGCAGCGAGCTGTTTGAGAAGATCACTTCACTGCCGGTGTTGTGGCGGAACCAAATCCCCCCCAAAAAAACCGAAACCCCAAACGATGGATACCGCCGGCGCTTCCGCAAGCACATCAAGCACAATTGAAGGAAAAGTGAGCAGCATATCAGAAAAAAATCCAGCGATGGACAAAGACAATTAGCGGGAGTTGGCGAGATTAGAATAGTGCTGATAGCGTTGTTGTCGCGACGATACTGCTAAATAAGAGACCATAGAGTAAACTGAAACCAAATTTGCTTTGTTTACAAGCGAACGTGAAACTATGTGCGCTCTCTGAAACAGTTGGCACAGTAAACTCGGGGCAGACATGGGCGCCGAGAAGTAACCAGATTGGGCACGTAGCGTTTCTATGAATACCATGTGCATTGATAGGAGCTTTGGTAATGAATTGACTGCGTACAAGCTCGACGCCGGCACATGTCCTGCACGTACAGGTTGCCGCCTCAATCGGCTTAAGTAGTGCAGTATGTGAGAAAAAAAAATTAAAGTGAATTGACTGCATAAAATGTGCAAAGCAGGTCCCCAGATAAAGAGTGATTTGATTCGGAGCTCACTCAAAACGGTGCATCGGTGTGTTTTGTTGTTGCACGTGAAGCTGTACGTGTGAACGAGCACATTTCGCAAAACTTGAGTGTCGCGAAACTGTTGCGTGCCTAAAAGATGCATCGTGTGAACAGACCTTAAGGTTAAGTTCTGGAATCAGATGGGCAGAAGTCCTATGAATATCTACAAGACATTGAGGAAGGCTTAGAGTTATAAGCCTTCGAGCAGCCTTGTCGACTGAGGGATGGCAGTGGGGGAGGATGAAGACCACAAACGTAGTGGGCAGCCAATCGCTCCCGGCTCCCGACTTTCCCGACAAAAAAAAAAAAAAAGCTTTTTTTCTATCTGACCCAACTTTACTCACCTGACCTCGCCTCCCTAACTTCCACCTGTTTCCCAACATTGCACACAGACATCAGAACTGTTGGTTTTCGAGCACAAAAAAAGCCCAAAACACATCACTGGTTGAACTGAACGACACTGTAAAGAATGGGTTTCGGGAGTGCTTGGACAAGATCTGCACCCTCTGGGAGAAATCTGCTCTTACAAGGATGGGGGAGGTGCTTATTTTGAAGGAGTATGTGTTTTCTACTTTTGTATCTCTCACAATCTCTGGACTTACGGACCTAGTCCCAAAACTTGGATCATACTTCGTAGGTACAGAAACACAACTTCAAAATTCTCCGACAAAGGACATAAATTAAACCAAGACGTCAAACAAATGTAAAAACTACCGATGAAGTAGTTGTGTTTAAGAAATAAACCCGCTTTCTTTTTGTAAGATGCAATGACAACACAGAGCTCAACATATTTAAGGACAATTTGCTGTCTGCATCATGCCTCCATTATTACAAATAACAGAATAAAGAAAAGCTTTTGTGACCACAGACACATATTCTAATAGTTAGTACAACCAAACAAATTACTGTCAGGGGTGCTCCCAAAGAGTCTTTACGAACCCCATCAAAGCTGAAGAGCCAATGAAGTCAGAGGAAGAGGCGTCAGAAATGAATGAAACCAGCGATAAAGAAATGCTTGGAAAAAGAAAGGGAGAAGAAGTTCTGTGCACGTCAGATCCTGGCTCCACGTCTCATTGAGAGAGGGCATAGTCAAAGAGGAGGAGGAAGACGCGAATGCAATCTTTATCCCCCAAAGCTCCCATCACCAAGCAGGATTCCGTCCTGCCCGGCCACGAGGTCCTGGAGAGTCAATTAGTTGGTGTACTTTGAAATTCCTATGGCTGCACGACAAAAGGTTGCTGACTGACCTGACAGAGAAAATTATGGTTTTAGGCCTACAAGCGTCAGGGCGGTCAAGAGTAGACATGAAAAAGTGCACACTGAACCCTAAGCCTGTGTGGGGACGCTTTGCTAACAAATTGGACTGGACTATTAGAAATATAGAACCAGTCAAAATAGAAAAATATGAGAAACATTTTGGTGAGAGCACTAAACTTTTACGCTTCAGGAAGACCATCTGTCGCCTTCGTACATGTTCACTCTAACATATTTTTACGATATTCGAGTGTAATACACGTCCAGAGCTGAGGTTACAGCACTTTTTGACAATGTTGTAACCTTCAACGGATTTACTTTCCACATGGGTCATTGCATGCAATGTCTAAATTATGTACCATTCTTTTTTTTTCTCTAATAGATGCATATATATACTTCATTTCTTTCGTTCTTGCTACTTAGGTTTTAAACCTATAAATAAACATTTGTTTAAAAAAAAAAAGGTGGCATAG